AAAAATGCAAATGAAATTAATATGTAACGTTATGGGACTCTCAGCGCCGGATTTAACTTTCAAAGGCCCATGGCCACGAATGATGTGGGGGCTTATGCAAGGGATTAAAAAATCAAAAATATTTCAGTTATAGTGAATATTAATAGTAGGTAAACCAGAGGGGCCTCAACTCAGAGGGGTATCAGCTCACTGAGTTGAAGCGTGTGAGTTGAGGTGTGTGCATGTTGAACTCAGCACTGTCACCTCACCTTCCTCCCCTCCCTTACTAAGCGGCCTGTGCATTGTCGACTCACCTCCTCCTCCTCCTACTGAATTATACCGGTGCGTATATACGCACTCCCCCCTCCCCTACTGAGTTGATCTGATGGCGTGCGTTCTCCCCCCCTGCTCTGCACTACCACTACCACTACCAATACCACTACCACTACCACTACCAATACCACTACCACTACCACTACCAATACCAATACCACTACCACTACCACTACCACTACCAATACCACTACCACTACCACTACCACTACCAATACCAATACCACTACCACTACCACTACCACTACCACTACCACTACCACTACACCGGTTGTTGTTAATCCAGCTCAAGACTCAACAGTTCGCTGGAACGACATCAATAGTGCGTTCAAAGGCAGAATAAAGACTGGTGTGATAACCAAACTGAAACATCTGGATTTAAATGCGTTTTTGAGGCATGCCAAACCATTATTCCATGCTCAAATTAAGGAGACCTTGAAGAAACATAGTTCTTTAAAAGTTAATGCCGTACTGGATGCCGAGTATGCAGTCGAAAAGAATAATTGCGATGAAAAGCTCGATGTGAAGCATTTCAATACGAAGATGGCGCCGATATACCTAACCACAGACATAGACGAGTGGTTCGTCGAAAACGTTTTACAACCAATTAGTAAGAGCACGGAAGAATTTCAAGAGCAAGACTCAGGCTGGTCTCTTCGCGTTATATTAAACTTAACCGTAAATATCAGCAAGTACAATCCTATGAGGACTGGTTCTTACGTTGAATTGCCCAAACCTATTAAAAGAAAGAGAGCCTGTGTGAACGTGCGGAACAACGACAACGAATGCTTTAAATGGGCCATCCTTTTGGCGTTACATCCAGTCGCAAGGAATGCATGCCGTGTCACTGCCTATACTGCTCATCAAGATAAATATAATTTCAAAGACCTATCATTTCCGGTGCACCCGAAAGAAATCGTGAAATTTGAAAAGCAAAACAACGTTTCAGTGAACGTGTACTTTTTAAATTTGAATAATGGGTCCTACGATGTATTGCCGCAACATTTGACCGATGAGAAAAAAGACAGGCACGTGAATCTTCTTCTAGTGGCAAATTATTATATCGATGTGAATGCCGATGTGAATGAAGAGCAGCTTTGGAACGAAGAACGTTTGGATAAAAGACTTATCTGGATTGATGTATCGACAGTTGTCATTTCGCAAATGTAAGTCGTACATATCCGATCGTTGCTTGCACTATTTTCTAACTAAAGAGAGATTGAAAACGCACGAGATCGACTGTAAAAATGTTAATATGTGTAAAATTGTGCTTTCCAGTGGCAAGGATAAATATTTACAATTTGAAAACTTTAAAAATGAGTGCGCGGTACCGTTCGTCGTGTACGCCGATTTTGAGAGTCTCTTGGAAGCGGTGTCCAACGACGAGCGGATCTATCAACGTCACAAACCGTACAGCGTTGGCTTTTCCGTCAAGTGTAGCTACGATGACTCTCTTTCGCGTTATCGAAGCTACAGACAGAAAACCGTCGATGACGTTGGTCCGGCCAAGTGGTTCGTTCGCAATTTTCACGATTTGGCTAAGTATCTGCACGAGTTGTACAGAAGCCCGCAGCCTATGGAAAATTTAACGTTCCAAGAGGCATTTAGCTTTCTTCGTGCTACGCTATGTCATATATGTAATAGGCCTTTTGTTGAGAAAAAAGATACAAAAGTTCGCGATTATTGTCACTTTACAGGAAAGTATCGTGGAGCTGCTCACAGCACGTGTAATATTGCTTATCAAGAATCGAGAACTATACCCGTTTTTTTTCACAATCTCAGCGGATACGATGCGCATCTATTTATCCGGGAAATCGCGAACGAATTTCCCGGTCGAGTGAGCCTCATTCCTCAAACCAAGGAAAAATACATATCTTTTACGAAGTACTAATCTTTCAAATCAGCGAAATTTTGCGCTGTTTGCGACAGCAGCGACCATACGATACGCAATGGCCCGAATGTGACATGCAGGCGTTGCAATGAAATCGGTCACTCAGTAAAATATTGCCCAAACGCGGACGAAACGAAAGAATGTAGATTTGCAATGTGTACAATCTGTAAAGAAAAAGGTCATGAAGCCAATAATTGTGAATTGGCAAGAATCCTGGTTAGCTATAGTAAGAATAATAGAAGTAACGATAATAAAATCAGTTCAAATACAAATTCTAGTGACGATAAACGCAGAAATGGAAATTTTAATCACGATAACGGACCTTCACGATTCAATAATTTTGGGAAAAGAAATAATAACACTAAGTGTGATTATTGCCACATGAATAATCATATAATTGACAATTGTTTGAAATTGACAGCTTTAGAAAGAAACGCAAAAACTACTAGTATTTGTACTTATTGCAAGGAATCAGGTCATAAAGTCGAATCATGTCCAATTATAAAATCACTAGAAAATAACCAAGAAAAATTTTGTACAATTTGTAAACGTACCGATCATACAGAGTCGACTTGTTTTAGACGTAATAATCAGGGAAACGAATAGATTCTTCCGAACATGAGTGCACGGAGGAAATAAATAAAAAGTCACTCGCTGCAGAATTAGGAGACGAAAAAACGACAACACGAAACATGGACATTAATGACCAAAATGAAACTCACGCATTAAATTTAATAGGACAATATGAGTCGCAAACCAAAACGGAAAAAAATAATAAAGTATGCCTCCAAAATGATAAACAAAAAAAACTTTATAATGAATATAATGACAATATAGAACTTACAAATATTATTGAAACTAAAATGTCAATGTATTTCCTAAAATTAAAAAATTTGTTACAATACATACAGGTACCGAATCCATTTTCGGGTGTTAATTTTAATTTACTTATAGATAGCGGAGCTCTAATCAATATCATAAAAAGCGATTGTATACCATCAAACGCTATTTTGGACTCAGAAAAAATTTCATTATCCGGTATTACTGATAAAACAATTCAAACATTAGGTTTGATAAAAATAACAATTAATGGGTTGTTAATTGATTTTCATATTGTACAAAGAGAATTTTCAATCCCTTATGACGGCATTCTTGGCATACCTGTTCTGAAAGAAAATAAGTTAAGATTAGATGAAGGTTATTTGGAAATAAATAGTAAGAAAATAAAACTTGTATCAATACCGTTGACTCAAATGAACTCAATCGTTTGTACCGAAAACAAAAAGAAAGAGGAATCAAGGATAACAGAAGAACAAAAGGGATTTTTAAGTCAAATTTTACATGGCATTAATAAGGAAAATAAAACAAAAAAAGAAAAAGAAAAACACTACGAAGAATCGAAAATCTTTGAGGAAAATAACAAATTTCATCCACTAGAAAGAGAAAATATACTAGAAGACCCCGAATCTGTTACATTTCCTTGCACAACAACGGATAAAATAAATAACGAAACAATGACTGTAAAGGATTTAAAAGTAGAACGCGAGATCGAAAGTTGTAAAAACTCATTACTAATACCTTTTTCTTCCAAGGGAATAACGAACTTGGAAGCTGAATTAGAGAAAGACCCTTCCAAAATAGAACACATGATTACCGATATAAATGTAGCAATGAGTACTGATGAAATGACTAACACAAAGGATGATTATGCAGACAATTATGATTATAAACAATTTATATCGGTTATAAAAAAAAATATAGGAATAGAATTCCCTTCGGAAAATACTGTTTCAGAAGAAATCCAAACATATCAATATTTATCTTTCGACTTAGAAAACTTTCCAAGCAGTATTGAACTAACGGAAAATATAGATTTCAATGTCAATGAAAATGAAATTTTATACGCGGGTAGCATAAACTTTTTAGGAGAGGAACAAAATAAAATTGAAGAAAATCAATTAAGCCACAAGGAAAGAGTATACATACGCTTCAAGGGGTTTGAACAAAACAGAACAGAATTATATGACTTATGAAAGAGAGGCTCTTGCAATAATTTTCGCTATTAAAACATTTAGAACATACTTATTCGGAAATAAATTTACGGTAGTAACGGACCACAAACCTCTACTTTTTTAAAATCGGCTGATAATAATAGTAGAGTACAAAAATGGCGACTAAAACTAGTTGATTACGATTTTGACATAATTTATCGCCCAGGCAAAGAAAACTGTCCAGCTGACTGTTTATCGCGGATTGCGGTAGAACCAAAAATTTGTGTTATGACACGAGCACAAAGAAAAAGAACCTTAGAAGAGGTAGTACAGACAAAATCATTAAATATTGACAAAAAGGAACAAATTACAAATCACGCATGCATTCAGGAAAAGAGCAAACGGAAACATACATACAAATCCAACAATATAGATAAAAAATGTATCAAAAATAGTAGCATTAATAATGATTATAATAGAGGTCATGTCATTTATAGCAAAAGTTCTATACAACTTCGTAATGATAACATTATCCATTTAATCTCTGAAAAACATGAGGGGCTGGACAAAAATACGAGTAACATACTTGCAGAGAAAAATTTGAAAATAAACAAAAATTTATCCAGTAATAATTTGGAAACATTAAACTATGGTAAACGAAAAATATTTATCTTGTGCCTGAACACTGCCGCAGCGACGGAAACAGTAAAACAAAATTTAGCCGAATTGTTCAAAAATTTGAAAAGACTTCTATTACAAAATAAGATCTCTATGCTGACTATTTCAAAAAACATTGATATAAGAAACATACAATGGTCAGAAATAGAAGAAATCATAAATGATACTTTCATAGGAACTAATATCAAGACTATTGTATGTATGAATCATGTTGAATATATATGTGAGTTAGACCAGAGAAATAAAATTTTTGAAATATATTATTCTTCGAGATTAGGAGGTCATTCGGGAGTGAATCGAACTTACAATAGAATTAAAGATAAATACTGTTGGGAAAACCTAAAGAACGACATACAAAAAAGAATTTCCATGTGTATAGAATGTCAAAGAAACAAATTAAAACGTAAACCTACACGACAACCAATGATTATAACAGATACACCTTTCAAAACTTTTGATAAAGTTGCCATGGATATAATGGGGCCATTTGATATTACAAAAAGTAATAATTGGTACATACTTTCAATTCAAGACCAACTTTCAAAATTTATCATATTAGTAGCATTAAAAGACCAAACAGCAGAAGCTGTAAGCGAAGCTTTTATAAAATGGTTTATTTGTACTTTCGGAACTCCAAAAATAGTACTAACGGACAGAGCACAAAACTTCAGAAGCAAAATGTTAAAACAAATTGCCAAAAGATTTCATTTCGAAAAAATTGAAACAACGTCGTTTTCACCTCAATCTAATAGATCTGTCGAAAGAGCTAACCATCCGCTTTGCGAATACATCAAACAATTTACATTACAAAAATGTGATTGGGACGAACTACTAGAGTTGGCCCAATTCAACTACAACACCAGCGTACACACTAGTCACAATTTCACACCACATGAATTAGTTTTTGCTTTTCCAGCTAAACTACCATCTAGTGTACCATTAAAAGAATCCGAACAATTACCAACTTTTAATGGATACCTAGAGAATTTAATAAAAAACATGAATATAATATTACACATGGCTAGAGAAAATCTAATAACCTCAAAACAAAAATCAAAAAATTATTATGACCGATTTACAAATCCAGTAAATTTAAAAATTGGAGATAAAGTATGGTTCATGAAAGAACCAAGACCGGGGAAATTAGAGAAAAATAAATATTTAGGACCTTTTGAAGTATTAAAAATAACTGAAAAAGGCAGTGTTGTAATCGATTACAATGGAAAACCAAAAACAATTCATGCCAATAAATTAAGCGTAGCAAAACAAGCATAGTAATCTTATTCTATTTCCAGGAAACACAATGGCGCAAAAATCAATGACTATCTTAATCATAATCACCTCCTTCTCAACAAGCAAAGGACTTATTGGCTCCAATTGCGGCTCAACGAACCCTACCATTACAACATATTCACTCTTGGATGCAGGGGAATGCAACTTTCAAGAAATTCAAGTAAATAGCACACAAGCCACTATCGAACTATTACAAAAAACGGAATTCAAATCAATGAAAATCATACAATGTAAAATAGAAATAAGGTGAACAATTTTTCATTGCGGTATGTTTAGTCATTTAGGCCCAACCGAAAATGCAATCCAAGAATACATTTACGAAATATCACACGACAACTGTAAAGCTATACATGATACGGGTATTTTTAAATATGATAATGCACACACAATAGCCGACCTAAGGATTAACTCGACAAAAAGTGTAGGTTTAGATCTAGCAGGAAACGTTAAGGGAAAAACTTGTTCAGGGGCAGCCTACGCCGACCGATTTGGTACGTGGAGCGATGTTCTCGTACAGGGACTTATAAAAATAACCTTGTTAGAAAGCTATGCAGCAGTCGAATTAAACAATGATAGATTAAGATTAAATTCGGGTACAGTATGTAAGTTTTCGGACCAACATTGTATCGATATGGAAGGGGGTTACACTTTTTGGTCATTACTACCGCACGAGGACTGTTTCGAGAATCAATACGATATACTGTATAGAGGAACGGTCACTAAAATAAGCTCACCCGATCATGAAACGATTTTTAGCATAAGTACGAAGTATCCTTTGCATTGTCAACTAGAGGGAACATGAGTTTTTGCAACAGAATCTTAATCACAACTGAACATCCAAAACTTTTTATATATGAACGAACCCAATTCAATATTTTGTACGACAATGATATTCAAACGAAGCAAGGGATACTTAGCTATGATCTATTCACGTATTTCAATAGCAAATTTGTGTATGTAAAGAAACATTTCAGGGTCGAAATAAAAAGCCTCTATATAGATATATTGCAACAAAAATGTGAATTGGAAAGGAAAGTCCTATATAACTCCTTATCCCTGGCGTCCCTCTCACCAGATGAAATTGCGTACAACATCATGGAGAAGCCCGGGTACATAGCTCGCCTGGCAGGGGAAGCCGTTCATATTATACAATGTACGCCTACAGAAGTTCAACTATTTCATACAGACAAATGTTTCTCGCAACTTCCAGTCATTTCAAGTAACGAAATATTTTACCTCACACCAAAAACACACATCTTAATGAAAACAGGAACAGAAATAAACTGTAACACAATCATTTCCCAATACTACAAAATAGGAAACGAATGGATAAATTTGATACCAACACCGAGAGGAACAACCAACGCAGTTCTAACCTTGAAACCGACCACCAAAATAACATGGAAACCGACGGAACTAGAATCATTGGCGACCAGTGGGATCTACTCCCAAGAAGACCTACATAAACTACAAAATCACATCTTCTTGCCCATGGAGAAAGCATCACTCCTCAACCTAATCGCGAGAAGTATGCGAGGCGACGAAAGTGTAGAGGGAGGATTAGTATCAAACCTAATACTGACAGAACAAACACTAACCAACATCGCTGGAAGCACATGGAACAAGTTCATCACCAAACTAACTAAATTTGGTTCTATAAGTTCTGCCATCATAATGATCGCCATTATATTTCAATACGGTAAAAGTTTAATCAATGTAATAATCAGAGGCTACACTCTACACTCTATATATGGAATTTCTGCATATTTGCTAGGAGCCATATTTAGTTCAATAACATAATTACTGGTGGCACTGAACAAACCACTGCTCAAACAGAGAAACCAAACTCCATTAAAAGATGAAAAATATGCATTGGATGAAATAATAATAGACAAACAAAAAAATGAGAACCCACAAGCAATAACCCCATTCACGAATCAGACCTCAAATACCACACCCCCCGTCCCTACTCCTAAAGAAATTTCCACCAGAAAGAAGCAACATATTCCAATTTTCACATTAGAATCACATTAGTTAAAAACACAAATCTGTTATATATATACATATCGAATCCTGAAATGAAGCTCTACTATACCACGATACGGAGTATTATTGTTCGCGTAGCATTAAAAGTACTATTAAGGCAAAATTAAAGCATATTCAATTGATTGCCGAATAACCAAGAGTAATGTACATTTATTTATTTATTCTGTTTGTTTTGCGTTGATATCACACCGATATACAATGATCTAGCCACGGAGGTGTTACGTCCTGAGACGTAAATATTTCTTCATTTTGATTTCATCAGCAATCGATTGAAAACGAAATAATGTATAAACGACGAACGGCATTTTCACGAAATACAAACTCAGCGAAATTAAAAGATAAGTAGTCCGAAAATTTGGGGCGCCCGACATTTTGATTTTCTGATTACTCAACACATTAATACGGGCCGAAGAGTCAATATAAAAACAGAGACTCGACTTTTCGGCAGCGGATTCGCGACGCGCGACTACTCAATAGCATTAAAATTTGTTAAAGTTCTTATGAGCTAATTCGCGAAGCGCGACGGCCGAATAATGTACAATTTACCTATTGTTATTTTTTTGAGAAATCATTTCTGTCTTTGAATAAATAAATAATTACTTGAATCGAGTGTTCGTGCATCATTACCGACCGACCTCACATATACTTCATCGAGATAGAGCTAAGCAGCCAATTTAACTCGAAATAATAACCCAGGTAAGTTCCTGTCACTATAATAATTTCTAATAAATAAATGATCATACATATTCTAAAACTACACGTCACGGCTACGTAGTCGCGACATAACACCGATGTGGCAGCGGCTCAGGGGAAGGCACGCGGAAGAGAGAGAGAGGCGAACAGGGCGAGCGAACTCAACGGTCAACTCGTCCGTCACAACATTAAGATTTAATAAATTTGCAAAAAAATTTTCGCAACGTGCAAATAACGTTATTAATTTTAAACAATCTCATTTAGTCTTAAGAGGCCCTCAAATACCGACAAACCCTGTTTTACCGTCTTTTCAAGGTTTTTCGAGTTTTTTTCAAAACATTTCACAAAGTTTCGAAAGATATTTATTTATTTATTTACCAGAGTATATATATATTAATTACATAGTCGCAATAAACATACATACATTACACAACTAATAAATTGTGTAATCCAGTAGAGGAAATAGTATTCCTTTGTTAACTTCAGCCATTCGATCAATTTCTAAAGGAATATATTTTGTAATGTTCTCATCGGGTGATGATTCCGGTTCTGAATGTAATGCTTTTAAAAATGTTATTGGTTTAAAGCCCTTAATGAAGGGTTTATAGGAGTCAACATTGTTTATATCTAGTATAGTTTTATTAGTTGTTATATTATATGATTCAGTGAATTTGTTGGTTATCTTAATTGTTTACCATTTCTTCAGTTGGTCTGTTTAGTATTTTTTTATAATTGTAAATGGTCATTCTAAAGTGTGATCTATTATTATGTAGGTTACAATTACCTTGAGCACATATACAGGGTATCTCATTTTAAAGGAACCACCCCGAAATTTTCGACGGTTGGCGTTGTACAAAAAAATTGTTCAGACAACACTTGTTTGGGACAATGGGGGCAACCTTTCTGTGAAATCCGATATGACCTTGAGATTCATTTTCAATGTCATTTGAAGGTCAATGTCATTTTTTGAATAGGAACCCATACTTTTGATCCCGGATTCGAAAAGAGCGGAAAAATCTACGTTCAGATAATGTATTATGTGTGAGGTGCGGTTAACCCCCCCCCCCCCTCGCCTAAGGTCATGTAGGGGTCAAATTTATGATTTTCTTCGTCTATGCACAGGGATGATCGGGCAAGAGTAGGGTTGATTATAATAACCCAATAACTTGGTAACCCGAATCATTTAGCAAAGAGAGAAACGTCGACCCCGAATACGCAGAAATCATCGTTGCAATATGATGCCGAACAACGATGATCCATGAATTCTCGTCGTTTTAGCAATGGTTGATTTGGATCATCATATCTCGTTGCGTGAAATTCAGAGACGTACTGGAATCCCAAGATTAACAGCCCCTAGATTTTTGATCACATAACTTTGACTCAAGCTTTGATGCCAGATGATCTCCGCCACAGACTGGAATTCTGCAATTGGGCACAAGCAAGGATTCGTGAAGATCCTGAATTTTTCAGATACGTCATGTTTTCGGACGAAGCTACATTTCATGGTAATGGGCAACTTAATTGCCATAATAGACATTATTGGTCTATCCAGAACCCTCATTGGGTACATCATGTTAATAATCAGCATAGATGGGGCCTCGTAGTTTGGTGTGGTATAATAAATGGTTATCTGATAGGACCTTATTTTTTCGATGGGAATGTCAACGGAGCAGCATATCTTGATTTCCTGCAGAATGAATTACCAGAATTATTGGAAGATGTGGACTTGGAAACCAGAAGACGATTATGGCTTCAACAGGATGGTGCACCGTGTCATCGGTCACTAATGGTTCGTCACCAACGATACCGAAGACGATGGATAGGCATTGGTAGTGTCATTACTGAGTGGTGTCCAAGATCACCAGATCTGACAAGTCCAGATTTCTTTTTATAGGGCTATTTGAAAAATGTTGTTTAAGCACAGCAACCAACAACACGGCAAGATATGATGTAACGCATCATACAAGCTTGCAGAGCTATTCCGCGTCACGTTGAAAATTTTGATCGTAGAATTCAACACTGCATAAATTTGAACGGGGGTATTTTTGAACATCTTATAAGATAAATGTTTGTGTTACAATCTTGACCATAACTCTATCTGTAGTTAACGTCTTGTCTTGATCGGCTGAGCATTCCCACCTTGCCTTCATTGGCTGGGTAATCAATACCTTGCCTTCACTGGCTGGGTAATCAATACCTTGCCTTCATTGGCTGGGTAATCAATACCTTGCCTTCACTGGCTGGATAATCAATACCTTGCCTTCACTGGCTGGGTAATCAATACCTTGCCTTCATTGGCTGGGTAATCGATACCTTACCTTCATTGGCTGGGTAATCAATACCTTGTCTTCAATGGCCGGGTAATCGATACCTTGCCTCCACTGGCTGGGTAATCAATACCTTGCCTTCATTGGCTGGGTAATCGATACCTTACCTTCATTGGTTGGGTAATCAATACCTTGTCTTCAGTGGCCGGGTAATCGATACCTTGCCTTCACTGGCTGGGTAATAAATACCTTATTAACTTCACCCTTTCCCCGGTGGGATGGGGGGGTGAACCGCTCCCCCAACATAATACTTTATCTAAACGTAGAATTTCCCGCTCTCTTCGAATCCGGGATAAAAAATGGGGGTCCTTATTCAAAATATTTCTCTGTTATTGGGTTATTGGAGTTACTGGGGTTATCGAGTTATTGGGTATTGGTGTTATTGGGTTATTACAATTAACTTTACCCTTGCCCGATCATCCCTGTGCATAGATGAAGAAAATCATAAATTTGACTCCTACATGACCTTTGGCGAGGGGGGGGGGGGGGTTAACCGCCGCACCCCACACATAATACGTTATCTAAACGTAGAATTTTCCGCCCTTTCCGAATCCGGGATCAAAAATATGGGTTCCTATTCAAAAAATGACTTTGACCTTCAAATGACCTTGAAAATAAATCTCAAGGTCAAATCGGATTTTACAGAAAGTTTGCCCCCATTGTCCCAAACAACTATTGTCTGAACAATTTTTTTGTACAACGCCAACCGTCGAAAATTTCGGGGTGGTTCCTTTAAAATGGGACACCTTGTATAAATAAATAAATATACAAATAAATAAATAGTAATAAATTAATAAAATATATATAATAAAATAGTATTTTACTAGGTGATTTCAACTCTCATAATGAGTAATGGAATTGTAACAACACAGATAACAATGGGAAAAATCTACACGATCAAGCTGAAAAATATAATCTGTATTTACACAATGCTAACACATTAACATGATTGAACATAAGTAATAATACTAAATCCAATATAGATCTTGTCTTTACTACAATGAACATAGCACATAACTTAACGTTACTAGTTTCTGATGATTCGTTGGGCTCTGGTCATTTTCCTATTTTCATAGAATACGACACTGAAAAAAGTATTATTACCAGAAAACATTTTAAATACAGTCTAAATGCATAAATTGGAGCGATGCTCGCGAATTACTTGAAAATGATTACAGTAAGTTTATTATGAGAGAATTTGATGAATTACAACCTTTAGAAAAGTATGATTTCTTTGTCAATATAGTTAAAGATTCAATAGCCAAATGTACGCCTAAAAGAAAAATAGTAAATAAAAACAAGCATCGAAATCCTATTCCGTGGTGGGACGCTGAATGTGACCGTATTAAGCGGCTTAGACAGGCTGCATACAAAAAGTGGGAATTTTCAAAACTTGATTCAGACTAGATTGAATATAAGGGACGGAGAGCATTAGCCAATAGAACGTTTAAACTTAAACAATGGGTAACTAGCTAGAATTTGCAGAAAAAATAAATTTTAATGTTAATTTAAGTTGCACATGGTGTACCGCGAAGTTACTCAAAAATAAATCGATAAAAGTCAATCTTTTAAGCCGTGAAGAGTTTAACAAAAAGACTGAAAAGATTGAAACGATGTTGGATAATATGTGTCCAGAATGGGTAGAAATTGACCCTAATAATATATACCTGAGGCTTCTGACAATGCTTTTTCGACAAGGCATTTAGTTACGCTGAATTCAATAGAGCGTTGAATTCAAACGGTAATAAATCGGCACCGGGTATGGATGGTATAAATTACGAAGTTCTGAATAATCTCCCTATTAAATATCATTTAATTTTATTAGATATTCTGAATGAATTATATGCGAATATATGTGAATATATGTGTTAATCCGAAAAGTTGGATTAACACATAAGAGGTGTGTTCAAAAAGTAAGGTGACTTCAAATTTCACGGGCAACGTACTTTCGATTATCGATTTTTTTGTTTTGTTATGTTGGTACACTCTTCCTGAACATCTGTACCAAGTTTCAAGTGTATAGCATTTTTTGTTTGGTTGTGAGAGGCGTAAAGGTTATAAGTGTTTTGCGTGCTCAGCGATTTCTTGCTATCGAAAAATATGGATCAAAGGATTTGCATCAAATTTTGTATAAAATATAAAATAAAGTGCTCCGAAACACTTGAAATGTTGACGGTGGCATACGGTGAAACTGTTCTGAGTAAAAAAAATGTTTACAAGTGGTATAAACTCTTCCAAGATGGCCGGGAAGATGCCAATGACGAGCCTCGTTCTGGACGCCCAAGCACGTCAACAACTGATGAAAACGTTCAAGCAGTGAAGAAAATTGTTCTGGAAAATCGTCGAATCACTATCAGAGAAGTTGCTGAGGATGTTAGTATATCGCTTGGCTCGTGACATGAAATTTTTTCTAACGTTTTGGGCATGAGACGTGTGTCAGTAAAGTTTGTTCCGAAATTGCTAAATTTTGACCAAAAGAACCGTCGCATGAGCATCGCTCAAGAACTGTTGAATGACGTTAACGACGACCCAGATTTACTCAAAAGGGTCATAACTGGT